TGTTCAGCCTCCACAAGAGAAGGCTGAGGGGGGATCTTTCATATATAAGCACACTGAGACTTTTAGAATACAGATTTTGTGTCTTTATCTTTCAAGGTGTATAGATTGTGGAATACTCCAAAATGAGTAGTAGTTAAATTCTTGCAACGATGAGTGGCTTACTGTCTCTTAAAGTTTTCTCTCAAGTAGTTAACTTAGTGCAACAGAAAATCTTCAGGGTTTGATTACAGTATATTTTATTATAATGATCTGAGAAAGGAACACAACATTGTTTCCATAAAACACTCATCACTCTTTTATCGAAACTTTGACATATGTGACATATGTAAGAATATTATATGTAGAGTAGAGGAATTTTGTAATTGCCCTATAATCCTGATGTCATTGTTTTTGGTTTTTTGTAGGGAAGAAAGTAGCCAAACAGGAGGATCTGAAAGAAATGGGTGATATTTCCTCAGGGATGAGCAGTTCCATCATGCAGCTATATCTTAAACAGGTCCTTGAGGCTTTCTTTCATACCCAGTCCAGTGTACGTCACTTTGCTCTAAATGTCATTGCACTGACTCTGAACCAGGGTCTTATCCATCCTGTTCAGGTATGTAATATTAGGGTGCTGTATCTATTATAATTTTTAACTAGAGATTTGTAGAGGTTCTTATAGCTGCTACCTAATTTTCCAAGTGTTAAACTTTACATATTTGCTACTGTAATTGCTTTATTTTTTTATTTATTTTTTTGGAGAGCTGTCTTATGGAGGAGTTGTTTAACATACAAAAGCTGTCAGGATCTCTTTTTCTGTATTGAAAGGCCAAAGATTCCAGCAATTTCATTTTATCATCTTAGAGAATAAATTTGTAAAGATCAAGCCATTACCAGATGGGTGATGAATACATTACGTTTTGTTATGTAACAGTTCACATTTGTTTATACCCTCTCTTCTTTGGCCTCTGTTTATTAGAATTTTTTATACTTTTTTTTTAACCAAAATTCTTTCTTGGATTGAAATGCCAGAGTTAACCTCTGATCTAGTTTGTTTTTAAGTAGTCTTCATCTCCCAATCCTTATTTCAGTAATCTTTTTTCCTACGCCACAAAATCTGTGTTAGTGTCTGTGTAATCTGTATTTTTGCCTAAACAGAGATAGTTAAATTGGAAGTCACATATCTCTGCATGCTAAGTCCTGAATTTTTCAAAACTGATAATGTATCAGAATAATAACATGTCACAGTTAAGTGTGTTTTTGTGGTGCTGTGCCTTTAAATAATGTTTGCATTTGTTTCTTTTCTAGTGTGTTCCATATTTAATTGCAATGGGCACAGATCCAGAGCCCGCTATGCGGAACAAAGCTGATCAACAGCTGGTGGAAATAGACAAAAAATATGCTGGATTCATTCATGTATGTAATTCTAATATTACATAGCTTAAATATAAACAAAATGCTGATTATGTGCTTTCTCAGAGATCAGACATTTGCAAATTCAAACTTCAGGACTAGGGGAATAAAGAGAGATTCAGCTTGTCTTGAGATTTGTGTTTTAGCTCCTTCATGTGAGAGAATGAGCTGTAAATAGCAGTATTTTCCAGTCAGAGAAAAAGAGAGCATTAATACTGGGTGCGTCTACACGAGACTTTTAATGCGCAGTCACCAAATAACAGAATGCAGTAGTGTGCCAGGCAAAAGCTGTGCTAATACACTACTGCACAGTAGTATTAGGCTACTGTGCAGTAAGTGTCACAAAAAAAAAGTCTGCTGGTGCTACTGTGTAGTAACTAATTACTGCACATTTAATTAGCATTTCATTGAGCAAGTACTAAACTAAATGCACAGTAACTACTGTGCATTAATGAATGCATAGATGCATGCACTGGGTCCTCAATATTCTGTCCATCTTTAGAACTCCCTGGTTCACAATAATATCTTACTCAGTTAATACCCAGACTAAGCAACTGTGAGTGCATCTACATGAACTGCTAAATGAACAGTAGACTAATTCTACTGTGCATCAGTGTGTCATGGCAAAAGCCGTGCTAGTGCACAGTAGAATTGGTCTACTGCATATTAGTGTCACTTAAAATGCATATTACTGGCATTGAGTTAGTACCTGTTATTAGAGGTACTAAAGTTGATGCGCAATAAGTACAGCACGTTACTGCATGTGTAGACGTACCCTGTGATAGTTTTTAATACCAAACGTTACATGAAACTTCTGCTCTTAAAGAAAATTGTTCTTATTTCAACACAGTAGGTGAGAGAAAAAATATATTTGAAATTTCATAGACTTTAGGGGCTGGAAGGAACTTCATAAGATCATCGGGTCCAGCCCCCTGCCATAGACGGGAAATCAGCTGGGATCAAGTGACCCCGGCAAGAAATAAATCCAGCTGTTTTTTGAAGGAGTCCAGAGTAGGTTCTTGCATCACCTCTGGGGGGGAGTTTTTTCCAGACCTTGGACACATGCCCCGTAAAGAACTTATTTCTTATGTCTAGTCTAAATCTGCCTTCCTGGAGTTTATGGCCATTAGACCTTGTTATCCCTTGGGGACCTCTGGTGAACAGGTGTTCTCCCAGGTCCTGATGTACCCCTCCTATGAAGTTCTAGCTTGTCTTGCGGTGTGACTGCCCTCCTCCCAGAATTTGGTATCATGAATAAGAACAATTTTCTTATTCTTAGTATTTTATGTATAGATGTGCAAGAAAAGCAAGTGCAAGAAAAGTGGATTTGTCATCTAATTTTTTTCTTTCAGGATTTCCATTCATACAATATCCATGTCTAATGTTTGAGCACAAACTGAACACTCATATATATTAGGGCTGTCAGTTAATCGCAGTTAACTTACACATTTAAGGCAAAAACAAATTAACACATTAATTTTTTTTTAATCACGTTAATCGTGCGCATCATTTTGATCAGTGGAGCGGACCAGTTTCAGATCAGCTGGAACCCATGTGCACCACCCCAACCCTGGCCCTCCCCATGCCTGCTCCAGACTTGCCTACCATTTCTGAGCAGTGGTTGGACAGAAGCTGCTACTTGGTATGAAGGAAAAACAGCCCCTCTCCCTCACTGCTGCTGGGCCCTTTTTGCTGCAACTGCTCAGAGCCTGCGCCTAGGCTGCCCTGCAGCTCCTCTCTGCTGCCATCACTGCCACCTCTGGGCCGCTGAGTGGGGCAGCAGTAGCAGTGCGGAGGAGTTGCAAGGCAGCCCAGGTGCAGGCCCCAGGCAGCTGCAACAAGAAGAGCCCAGCAGCGGTGATGAGGAGAGGGCCACTTTTCCTCCATGCAAAGCAGCAGCTTCAGCCTGGCCACTGCCGTGGCTCAGCATGGGCAGGTGAGCTTGGACCAGGTACAGGGTGGGCCAGGGTCGGGGCTGTTTGCATGGGTTCCAGCTGGTCCACTTTGGCCTGGGCAAGTCCGGAGTGGGCACGAGGTGGGCCAGAGTCAGGGCTGGGGCTGTGTCCTATTGGTGATAGTGGGGAGGAACTGCAGGGCACACAGGCTCTGGACTTCAGGCTGTTGGGTTGTGGAGGGTCCTGACTATTGTTCAACTGTGCAAGTAAAATTGTGATTAATTACAACTATTTTTTTAATCTTTCAATTAATTGCAATTCATTTTTTCAATTTTGTCAGCCCTACACATAAATTTGATATACTTTGTTTCCTGCTCAAACTCTTAATGTGTGTGTGTGTGTGTGTGTGTGTGTGTAATCTATCTAAAATTTATATGTATTATATATATTAAATATAGCAGTAGCTCCTTAATATTTATGTACTGAGAAAGTTTTAGAGGTTTTCATTAACTTTTTCTGTGTGAAGTGAATAAAGTTTTGTAAGTTGAAGCTTAGTTAGAAGAAATAAAGGAAAGTAGTTTGAGAATCTGTTTTAAGGCAAATAAGGGGATGGGTGGGTACTTATTGGTGTAAGTTGTTATTCTTTCTGCGTGGTCTTTTGGATTAACTCCTAATAACTCCTCTCCTAGGCTACTTTACTTTCCCCAGACATGACACCCAACACCATACTTGTATGTTGCTGTGGAAGTAGATGCTCAATTGCCTGGCTGTGCATGCGATTGGATTGTGAGATCTAAATCCAAAAGCACTCCAGTTAAACCAGCAGTAAGATTCAGAGCAGTCTGCTTAGTGTTCCCACGCTTAATCCAGTAGAGTAGAGTTTGGAATGCACATAGCTAAGTCTTGAACTACATTTTGTATAGGTGTAGAGATGTTCTAGGGAACAAAAGCAGAGGCTGAACCTGGGGATTGTTCAATATATTGACTGGCCAGGCATCCAGCAGTTACTGAAATTTGAATAAAACCTAAACTTGAGTAAAATCAGTTTAGACACTGAGGCAAATGGTAAAAACTGGAACTTCCTCTTGGTCCCTTTGCTTTTGTGGGAGTGATGGTGGAAGGTTAAGAGCTGTAATGTAAAATATTTTATTATTTAAATATTTACAACTTTCAATATTTTTCCTATGGAAAATCACTTCATATAAGTGACATATATGACTAAGTACTTAAATATTCCTGCTAGAATAGGTATAATGAAACAAGATTAATTTTCACACCACCATTATCCTTCAGCACCTGCTGTTGCTTTGGTCAGCTTCAAAACTCAAGAAAACAACATTGCATCTGCTCATATTTGAAAACATAACTCTCTAACCATGATCATTAGGTGTTTAAAAAAAAAAAGAAATTGATATGACATATCAGGGATTCAAGAAATCATTGGGGAAAGCCCTGAATGTTTAGGCATTGTGTTTAGATTTCCTTTTACTTTTCAAGAACTTTGAATCAGTAGGCTATCCAAAATTACATTCTTAAACCTTCCACTGAGACCAGTTGAGAACAAGATGAGAATAACTTTTATTTCACTTTGTTGTCTTGTTCATTTGTCTTTCATTCATTTAATATGATTGTTGGCAAGCCATGATTTAAACAAAAATAGATATTTTATCATTTCAGATGAAAGCAGTGGCTGGTATGAAGATGTCTTACCAGGTACAACAGGCAATCAATACATGCCCAAAGGATCCTGTAAGGGGTTTTAGACATGATGAATCCTCCAGTGCTTTGTGTTCACATCTGTACTCCATGATTCGAGGGAACCGTCAACATAGACGAGCCTTTCTTATTTCTTTACTCAACCTCTTCGATGACACGGCAGTAAGCATCACATAAATTTACCTAATTTAAAAAGACATCAGAATAAATTTGCTATAAGATCATGCAGCAAGTTTAAATGATTCCTGCTTTATGTAAAATGGCTTGGTAAATTTAGCCTGGCTAACTTTATTTCCCTGGTCTCTTTTATGTTGATACATAACAAAATTAATTCCCATATAAGAAAATAAGCTTTTCCCCTTTTTTCATTTGTATGGGTAAAGCAGGGATAGCGTAAATATGAAGCATTTTGCATATGTACAATGACTTCTGGGGAAAAGTTATCTAGTACACGTCAACATGTTTAACCCAAAATCCTTTGAAGGCAGCACAAACACAAAATATTACAGACTGATTTTTGTATATTTATATGTGGATATATAAAATGTTTTATGTAACTTTTTTTTAATTTGCAGAAGACAGAGGTGAATATGCTCTTGTATATAGCAGACAATCTAGCCTGTTTTCCTTATCAAACACAGGAAGAGCCACTGTTTATAATGCATCATATAGATATTACACTGTCAGTTTCTGGTAGTAACCTACTACAGTCATTTAAGGAGGTAAGTGTATTTGTGATGTTGTGTAATCACCATAATTCAGTCAGTTTGTCAGGTCTTCTAAATCTTTCCATTGCTGTAAATATGCATAAGCATCATTACTTTTCAGACAACAGTAAAAATCTCTGTTTTGTCCTGTATGTGACATGTCAGTTAATAATTTTTACAATTTAATTTATTTTTAAGGTTAATCAAATAAATTAGAAGCGCAATAAAACAGTAGTGTGAAAGCAGATTCAAACTTCCCCTCTGTACAGTTTGTTAGTGAAGTTATCTACCTCTAGATTTTCCTAATCCCGAAAATATTCTGAAGGGAACTTTATATTGATAGAGTTCCTATATATATAAATCAAATGAATTTATTTACTTAGTCCATTATCACTCTTCATTTCCATATTTTTCTTAATTACAGTGTGCACGCTATTTTTCCCTTAAATACAGATAGTTTCCTACCTGCAGTGGCATTGACCACCTTACTGTTAACAACAATTTTAAAAAGTCCTAAAAATAAAAACCTAAATCACACTTTTTGATTGAAAATATTGGGCGCTAATTAAATGTATACATGTGGTAAACTGAGTTTCAGCCAAGCATTGGCTATTGTTTAGTATTCAGATCAATTAAAACACTTAACTATATAGTTTATAGCAAAAACACTTTTACTTTCAGTACACTTCAAGGAAATTAGTCATTAGCGTAAAATTGGCTAACTGCAATGGGGAACTCCTAATTTTACATTTTAAAAGAGGGAAATCAGGCTTATTTAGCCTGACTACCCATCCTGCCTGAAACTGAACAGACTGGCAAATTTGACCCCAGCAGTCTTTCCTGCTCAGAGCAGGGGGGCTGGACCCGATGATTTCACAAGGTCCCTTCCAGCCCTAAACTTCTGTGAATCTGTGAAAATAATATTAGTATTACATATATTGAGGTCACACCGTGTTATTAATTAGGATCCTTTTGTTCTAGGCATTGTGCAAATACATAAGCTAAGGATATTCTCCACCTTAAAGAATTTAAATCCCCATTTCTTTAAGATCTTTGGGGATGCATAGTGTGAATGCTTTGAAGTAGAAGAGGACTGGAGAACTTGCTTTTAGTCCTAAGCCCACTGAACAAGATAAGTGGCTATAAATTAAACTCTTCTTGAGTTTACTAGCCACTAAGTTATGGTGCTTTAAATCATTTATTTAATTAATTAAAAACAGACGATAAATTCTTTTGGATGGGGACTGGGTTCTTAATATTTGTACAGCACTTTACAAAAAAAAGTTTTATATTAGCCAAACTTTATAGTTTCCATTAACCACATTTTTATAATACTGCTCTTCAGCCTTTGCATTAACAATACTGAAACAGTTGAATATTCTTTTCTATGTGCTATCTCTGAAAGGTTTTGCTATATTGATTTTAAATGTATTACCAGATAGTCCTTTCCATTTCTTTTTCCTTCTCTCATTTAAGTAAATGTGACCAAACGGCCTTAAGCTTTATATAAATTTTAACCTTCTATATTTTCTAAAGCACATTTTGCTATAGCAAATATAGTGTTTGCATTTCCTTTAATAAACTGAACCCTCAACATAGCTATTCCCTTGGGGAGAAGCTTGGCATGTTTGTTCATGGCCACTGAGACCACATGAGAACTGCTCTACTAGATGTTAGAAATAAAAATGCTTGAATATTTGAAGTATATCCAAAATGGCAAACTAAATGATATTGCATGAAACTTAATGCTACAATTAATCTTACAAACACACTAATTTAATAGAAATTCTTGTATTCTGTTTGATCCTTAGTGATAGGAAATTTCTTGTTCTTGAGTTTGTATGGTGCACTCTGAGCAAGAGGCAATAGTATTTTTTCCAACATGCACTCTTAAAAACTTTGTGCTGCACTCACATTTTGTAGAGGTCTTCTTTTGTGGATGGATTATTCTTTTTCTTTCAATAAATAAAAATATATATTGAAGGTATTTCAGGCCTTGAAATACACTTCAGTGTGCCTGCTTCAAACTATAGTATGTGAATTTGAAATAAGCTGTGGTATGATAGTGTTTCTTGAAAAGAAAGTTCTTACCCATTGAAAAGAATTATGTTTATGTAAAGTATATGCATGATACTGTTATTGTAGTTCTTAAATATTTGTCAATTCTCTGTCTTCCAGTCTATGGTAAAGACAAAAAAAAAGGAGAGAAAACCATCATCAGATGAGGAGAGTGAGAGTGACAGTAACAGTGGGAGTGGGAGTGAAAGTGAAGAAGAAGTTAGCAAGCCTCGAAAGTTACGGAAACGAGTAGACTCTGATTCAGATTCTGATGAAGAAAATGATATAAATGCTGTGATGAAATGTTTGCCAGAAAATTCAACTCCTTTAATTGAATTTGCAAATGTCTCACAAGGCATATTACTACTTTTGATGCTAAAACAGCATTTAAAGAACCTCTGTGGATTCTCTGATAGGTAAGAATAAATAAATAATAGTAGAATGCTTCTCATCTTTTAATCAAGCGAGTACTTCTCAAGCCATCTTATTTTTACAAGATTCAGATGTCTTGAATGTTGACCAATAGGTTTTATGATACCTGGATAACAAGAGAAAATCTAGTTAAATGAATGAATTTCTGAAGTATATATTCCAGCTATAAAATAGCAAATGTCCTTGTTTAAATGAATGCAACACCTAGTTAATACAGAATGAATAATGTGTAACTGCTCATACTAAAAGCTAAAAATATTTTTTCTAAAATGTCTATATTTTCCTTAAATAGTAAAATTCAGAAATACTCTCCCTCTGAATCTGCAAAAGTATACGATAAAGCGATCAACAGGAAGACAGGAGTGCATTTCCATCCAAAACAGACGCTGGACTTCCTGCGAAGCGATATGGCTCATTCTAAGATCACTGAAGAGGTGAAGAGGAGCATAGTAAAACAATACTTAGATGTAAGTAGAATCTTAACCTTCTTAACTAAGATTATCCAAAAAAGTTTGCACTTGTATTTTCAGCAGTTTTAAACTTTGAATGTTTGGAAGGTAGAATTGGACTTCTTTTCC